TCTAACATTTTATAGGGACTTTTTGATAATGAGGAAATAGCAGATGGGACTTCTGCATGCAAAAGCCCCAGAATGTCTATAAAAATCCCCCCAAATGTATTTGTAATCACACCACATGCGGTTCTGGGCATTTTGATGAAGCTCTGATGCAGAGATACAGACAGGCTTGCTGTAGGTGGGTGGGGGATTTGGCATTGCACTGCTGAAGCTTGCTGCAAAAACCCCTCTGACAAGAAAATGTTCTCAGCTCATTTTCTTTGCCAATGCAGGTGAGGAAGGACGCACAAATACACTCTCTGATTCACACTTACCCACACGATAATACGTATTAGAAGCTGAACACACTTACCCACACGATAATACGTATTAGAAGCTGAATTCACCAAACAGCCATAGCTCATGTTCGTCCTTCTTGTTCATCATGGATTTCGATTGAAGTAATATCATTTCTTATGTATTTTAGGCCACTGTGTCAGTTGGTTAGCTCCCCTTCATTTCTAATGGAGCCCTTGGGCCTGAAATAATAAGAACATTTTATTTCAAAGCATGCCCTCTTCCTCATTTTGAGTTTCACTCCCTTCACTCATGAAATCACTCTCTGACTTTGACAGATGGGGCTTTAGTAGCCGAGCAGGATGTCTACTGTTGATTCTTGGCTCTGGAGCCAGGCTTCACTCCTGGTGTGAGGTCAGCTGAGGGTTGATACGCTGCTTCTGTTTATGCACAGCACCTTATGAAGCTTCGGATAGAAAGAGAGAGAATAGATATCAGCGTCTCCCTTCTGATCTGCATCTGCCAATAACGCTCTAACAATCCTCTCAGCCACAGCAAGGTGAGAAAGATAGAGATTGAAATTATGCTGAGCGTTGTCATTTAAATTCTGCCAGAGAGTAATGAGGATCACTTAGTGGTTGTGTGCTTTACTTTTAAGCTCCTAATTTTTCCTGGCACCCTATCTGTTTTTTCATTCTGAAAAGCATCAGCTTTTTTGTACTTTTTGATTAAATTAATTAATGTGACATGGCATGAGAAAGGATGGCAGATTTGAAATCTCCTAATTTTAAATTTTTGGGGGGTCCTATATGCCGGCTAAGCAAGTGCAAATGAGATGAATGTGAATGCTAATGGATGGATTGGTAAAGACGTCTTTAGAGAAATCAGCTTCTATTAACAGTATGCTGGTCCTGAAAGACTCACTGAGCACCAGATAGACCCTCCAGAACTCACTCCACAGTGACCACCGAATCAGCGAGGCTTATAGTTTTCAATGGAAAATTCGTCACTGTGTTTTGGTGCCAATGCCAAATCCAAAGGGTAGATTTGCCATGATCCCAAATGCCTGGAATGTAGTTATAGCTTTTTACTAAAACATCTAATTTATTTGTGTATATGCCATTAGTTGACAAGCACATGTTAAATGGATATTTTATGGTTATAAGATAAGATTTTAGTATCGCTATGTTATGTCTACAGAGATACATGGTTGACATAGACCTAATTACAGGGTATGAGAAGAAGCCAATCTTTAGAAATTCCTTCTAGTCCCAGTTGGATCGTATTCTTTCTCTGGCACATTACGCCCCGATGTCTGTTTGGAGATCTCTGAACCGGCGGCTGAGTCTTATTTTTGGAACGAGCCACGTTGCCAAGCTTGTGTCATCCATAGGGGTGTAAGGTTTTCCGGGTCGAGTTAATTAAAGGGGTGTGAGAGATGGATAGAGGGAGTAAGGCGTAAGCATGAGTATTTCCCTGTCCATGAGATGTTGTACTGTGCACCGGCTGATGGTCGTCAACAGTGCCAAGAGAGGCCCGGCCGGCCAGAGAAAAGCCCTGTGGTCAGCACTCCGTGGGCTGTAGATGCTGCCAGCATACAGCTCTCAGAAACATAACAGGAATCACACCTCCAACCGGCTCTCTGCTGGGCTCACGCCTAACACCCACAAACACATCTACTCAAGGACAGTGCTGTCATTTTGGCAGTTGCATCACTGCTAATCTCTATACAACATGTTTTTAAAGACCATACTTTAGACCAAAGTTTTACTCGCAAATTAGTATTAGGTCAGCCAAGCTGATCGTTGTCAGCCATTTATCTGCAGAAAAGTTCTGAAAATTGGTGTATAAAATTCAATACATAGTACACTACCATTCAAAAGTTTGGGGTTGGACTTGGTATGATTTTTTGAAAAGAAGTCTTTTATGCTCACTGAGACTACATTTATTTGATCAAAAATACAGTCCAAACAATAATATTGTGAAATAATATAAGGGGGTCATGATTGTTGTATCTTTTTAATATGTTCCTTGAGGTTCGCTCATAATGTTAATATAATAAAGTTTTTTTGCACAAAAAAAATGTTTTAACCCTCGTTCTGACCCTCTGGGCCCTATCTTGCACTCGGCGCAAATGACTTTGTACACTGACGCATGTATCATTCCTATTTTGCACCCGCGCAAAGCGGGCTTTTCCCTCCACGTCGGTTAACTAAGAAATACACTTGCGCTCCCCGGGGCGGTTCAGCGCAAAGAGGAGGCGTGTTCCGGCGCAAACTTTCCCTCATGCTATTTTGCTGTTCTATAAAACAAATGCGCCACTGACCAGAAAAAACCTAGTCTAAAGTCAGTGCCCTTATTTTAAGGGCGCATGCTTGGCCATAATCAATGTAGCGTGTGCACAACGCGCATACACGTTGCTTCTCTCATCTAAGCAGCAGTTTTCATTTTTGCAAATCATACATTATTACGATAGATAGATAGATAGACAATTTATTATAAAAGCATACATGTAGCTTACACATTTACCCAAATTATCATACGCCTGTTTAACAGAAGTTAATTTGGGTGGGTTTCTCCATCCCCAATTTCACTTCTCTGTGTTTTACGGCCCTGACGAGAATGTTGCTCTCCTCGGCTGTGAACCGCTCCTGGCGCGCGCCTGGCCAATCCGCCGTTATAATAGGAATCCGCTTTAGAACAAGCGCGCCTGCTCTTAAAGGGAATGTGAGATGACACTCTGATTGGTTTATTTCACGTTACGTCCAAACCACACCTATGAATAATGAAGCTACTTCAGACCAACCCCTTTTAGATTTGTGCCAGGCGCAAGAGGCATTTATCCCGCCGGGAAAATAGCAACAGCGCCGGGATCCGCCCACAAAGTTACTTGCGCTTTGCGCTTTGACACTTGCGTTTCAGATCGTTAAAATAGGGCCCTCTGTCTGAAATGATCAGTTTTTAAGTGGGCGGATCCTTTAAGGCTTGTCAGTAATGGGCCACTTTTATGATTGGCTTACGTCATTGTATAGGAAAAAGTGTAAACGCCCCCACTGTTGCACGTGATCAAGTGTTTTAAAAACATATAAAACGGTTATTTGCAGACAAAGCATTATCAAATTGTTTACTTACGGTTTGCGATGTTCGGGATTTCACCTTGATGTTTGCGGCATCATAATGTTAGAAAGAGTGCTAAAGCTGTGGCTAAGTAAGTAGTCCTAATCACACATGAATATGTTATGCTCATGGCGATGTGGGTTTGAATGTACAGCATGTGTCCTGATCCCATTCCCTTCTCCCTCCTTCTACTTTCCTATATACCTCCACTATCCTGTCAGGCACAAAAGGATTTAACCTGGCTGCTGTCAGGAAGGATCCTCATTATGAGCCCCAGGTGTTGTGCGGTATAGGCTGCTGGTCAGAAAGCAGGAACACAAACCTGCCAATATAGTGACACTGGACTGGAAATGCCCGTCACATTTTGAGAGCCAGCAGTCACCGCCAGCAGGATGTGTTTACAGAAGAGGGTGATGAAAGAAGAGGATAGAGGAAAAGATGGTAATGTGTGTGTGTGTGTGTGTGTGTGTGTGTGCAATGAGAGGCTGTATCACAGAAAAGCATTCTGTAGTGACTCAGCTCTTTGCACCTGTTGTCTTACCTCAGAGAGACGTTCAACCATCGTACAGCTGCAGAAGAGATGCATTGTGAAACATTACTCGGTTCAACTGATCTGACGTGTCAACCTTCAAAAGCTTTTTTGTGTTTTGTTTAACCCCTGACGTTGTGAATGTTACATTTGATTTCACTGAATAGTGAAAGGAATTCAGTGGGATGCTCAGGCTATTAGCTGAGGTGATGGTTTTATATTTCTGAGTTGGCTGACATTCACAAAGAGAAACTTCCGCAGTCATCTCAGTGTCACCTGCTCTGCTAGAGCACTGAAACATTGAAACCGAGTGTGTTTGTGTGTGCACCTCAGCGTGGGTTTGGTCTAATTAAAATTGCCTTGAGTTCTTGCCACTAGCCCCTGCAGGAGCCTGCTTTCATCAGCATTATCTGTCAGCCTGCTCTGCAAGTGAACCTTGTTTTTGATTGTGTACCTTGTTTCTTCCCCTGACGGTTCTCTGAAATGCATCCATTTAACAGGTTCACTTAGGCACATCTATTATCAGTTGATTATGCACAGAGAAAGATGGCCCCATCTTCTTTAAAGATACTAAATTAGTCATTAGCCGGGTTTCCATTATAAAACATCATAAAACATTTTAAATACATAATTGTACATGCTAATTGTTTCCATTTAGATAAACTTTTCTGTCATTTAATGCTCACTTAGTTCATCTTTTAATTACTAAGAATTTAATAACACTTTTAAATGTAATCTTTAGCCAATCTCAAAATCCAAAATATCATATTTTCATACTGTACATTATAATGTGTCAATTTAAAATGATTCATTTTAATTTGAGTGTTTTTTTATTATTATTAATTTGGACAAATATTATAGAACTTTAAAATCGGCTATTTATTAGTTATAGGCTGTAAGTATAAAAATGATTCGTTATATTTCTCTGAATATTAAACTGAGATAAGAGGAAAACATTTTACTATTTTGAAATGTATTTATTTCACATTTTCCTAAAGAGTTTTCCTAAAAATCAGTTTGGGAAAAAAAACACCTCTAAATATTACATCTGGGGGCATAACCACCTTCTTCTCTCTTTCAGGACTCTCTAGGAACCCTCTAAATGGAGATGGCGTATTTCAAGAACAATTTTTGGGTAAGTCTGTCACATTTCTTATGCATTGGGTTCTTTATGTTCTAGCTTTGTAGCAGTACAGTAAGAGCCAGTGTTGTAGTCGAGTCACCAACTGTCGAGTCCGAGTCGAGTCTCGAGTCCCAGTGTTCGAGTCCAAGTCCAAGTCCGAGTCACCAAAGAAGAGTCCGAGTCGAGTCCAAGTCGAGTCACCATTACCGGAGTTAAAGTCCGAGTCGAGTCACCATTACCTCAGTTCAAGTCCGAGTCGAGTCTCGAGTCCCGTGTTCGAGTCCGAGTCGAAATTATATACACTTAAGCCAAATCAAGCAACATTTTTCAGGGACTCTTTCTTGCAGCTAGAAATGTGTATGATATCACTAGAATTGCCTTTGACCTTAGTTCAAATCATTGTTAACTAGCTGCACGGCCGCATTAACAATAGGGCTAGGCGGGGCTAAAGCCCCGGGGCCCGAGCAAGGAGGGGGCCCGTGATTGGCTGTGGAGTAGATACTAGCCATCTGATTGCCAAAGCCTTACCACGCAACGCCCCCCACAAATTAGCCCTGTTATTTAGTGGCGCTTTGCCGTATATTCCATGCATTATCATGGAATCATTATCATTAATATTATGACCGTTCGCAAAGACCCGCCTTTTTTAGATACTGTGTGACAAGCCAGGCGTCTCTCACGAGTCACGCACATCATGTTCTCACTCACGCAGTGAAAAATACATCGCGGGGCAAAGACTAACGTTACACCGAGTGACTACGAGAGAGAGTTCAGAGCAGCTTACTGTTGATATGAAACAAAGTCTCAACTTTCAAATATTGTCATTTAACTAATAAACAATACCGTTTTCAAGTTCAAGTCCACCGACGTTAATCTACTGACAGCTTTGTTGTCGGACAAAATTGCGTATTCGGCTGTATGATTGGCCAGTTCTCCTGTCAATCAAACCCCCGTGGGCAGCAGGGCATGGTGAATTGAAACGTCACGTTTTAATTTGATATACATTTATTCTTATTTAATTTGTGAACGATCTACCTGCTGCTGCACGTAGGCCTATCAGATGGCTGCCTGCGCCTTATTAGAATATACGCATCAACCAATCAATCGGCTCCACTCTTCACTTCATTCTAGACTATTCTTAAAACACATGCGTCATCATCGACCCCACAAATTTTCGGTAAGTTTGATTATTAACTTGATGGATGTATGATATTGCTTTTTGTGTTTGATCAAACTCTATTTTCGCCTAAATGGCCTAAAATATGTACATTTTCCTGCGCCATCATGATACAAGTTTATAATTTAAACGCGTTTTTTAAACATTGTGGTTTGGATACAAATTATTTTAAACTGCTCAGGCACAGTAAGCAGCGGGAGAGAATTCATTTTGGTTTTGAGACCATGGTGAACTTGAGACGGTTTTGCACAGCGCACTTGAGTTCCGACCCTGAGGTCTTAAAGTGACAATAAAGCTGCTGTCGCCATTTGTGTCAATAATGTTAATCAAACATCAGAAAGAAAGTAATTTACTGCCCTTGACTGAATCACTTTTGTAAAATTAATAAGAATGAATGTTGAATTTATAGTGAAAACTATGTATTGTTTATTTGATTACTTTATACAATATAATATTATTCAGTGCTTTAAGTTTTTCAAGTAGGTCGATTTCTTATGTGCCTTTGTTCTATTGTTATTTGTGACTCTTGTCATCAGTAAGCTTTAGATTCTTTTCTTAAGCTACTATTATTTTTTGTGATATTGAAATTGGTCACAAGAATTATGAAATTTTAGTGGCATAAAATTTTGATATGATAAAAAATCGTATTAAAAGTAATATAACCTAACTGTGAAGTATATCATAGATGAATAAAATGACTTGTATAATGATAGAACATTTAGCTCATGTAGTTGGTGACCAAAAGTGGTGGTGGGGGGGCCCTGCAGTAACTCATAGCCCCGGGGCCCGGTGAGCTCTTAATGCGGCCCTGACTAGCTGTGGCACTTATATTTATTTAATTGTTTAAATACATTTTTGGATGATCAGTCAACTGGAATGAATAAAGAAAACAAAAAAGAAAGCCTAATTGGACAGAGGAGGAGAAATGCATTCTTCTTGACGAATATGGTAAAAGAAAAACAATTTAGAAATTTTGAAAAGCAAACTAAATCCCAATGTAACTGCGGCAAAAAAACAGAAAATGCAGTGCTATAAGCAGTTGTAACTCCGCAGGAAAAAAGTGGTTGTGATGTGTGACATGGTCAAGGTCGCCGTCTAGTTTGTTTGCTAAAATAAACATAATTGTGTTTGATAAGCGGGATTAAGCGCTGAGCGCGTCCGACTTTGGCTCAGCGCCAGCCATATCACGAAAGCACAGTTTAAATCTGGCAGTTATGTCACGTCACTGTACATTCGCTCCTTAGTGGTCAGCTCAGCTGCTGCAAAGCGTGCCAAAATCGAAATGGCTGATTAGATGTTGAGGAACTTATCTAGTGTTAAATAAGTGTTATGTTATCTCTCTCACGAGAATGCAGCGTAAAGTGAGTGACGTCAGTGAGTGTGTTGTCAAGCAAGGAGAGCGAGCGGTAGCAGTGTCTGTGAGGGAAAAAATAGATCACGGCCGGTCTTGGACCCCGAAACAGGAAAAGTGTAACATCTTATATAAATTTTTTATAACCTATTTAGTCAGAAACAACGTCATTCATTTGATGAATGCTCAAGTCCGATTTTATATATTCTCGAGTCCGAGTCCAAGTACTAGTCATCAGTCCGCAAGTCCAAGTCGAGTCACGAGTCCAGAGAATAAGGACTCGAGTCGGACTCGAGTACTCCATCACTGGTAAGAGCAAATGTTTACTCTGCGTATGTTTTATACGGTTGCCTTGTAAGCAGTTTGGAATTCATATGCTGACTGTTTCTGTCACATCATTGAAAATATGAAGGAAGGATAGCGAGAGGAAAGAACAAAGAGAGAGAAAAAAGTGTAAGAACAAAAGCAGAGGACCGTGGCTTTGTCAGCTTTCCCATGAGGACAGCCGTGCTCTGCACTTTCCACACACCTGGCAGGGCTATTTCAGGTGCGTCCTACTTTAATACCTAGCCTGCCCCTCTCAAAGAACGAGGAAGAAGAGAAGGAAAGCAAGCCAGAACATTCAGGAACTGCTGCTACTGAATGCAGCCCACATTACACCAGTACAGAAGCCTTCCAGATAAAGACCTCCATATGTTAGAGAAGTTTAAAACATCTGTTCCATCAAATTAGTTTTGTTTGAAAAGTAGTAAAGTGGCATTTAAATGTCATGTTAGTAATAAACATCACAGTGATTGGTTCCCTCCTGTTAAAACTGAACACCCCTTCTCTCATTTGTAGTCTTGACTGGAGTTTTATTTTTGAGTTCCTCTACTGTGTTCTGTTTGGTTGCAGCCTCTGGTCTGCTGACCAGTTTGGGCCAGGTCATGTCATGTGATTGTCCGGCTTTGTGTCGCAGGACTGTGGTAGATGTAGAGACCTCCTCTATTGTGTTGTGTTCCTACACAAAGCTGGTGTAAAACACCCCCCAAAACTCCCAAGCATCCACGCAGAACTATTATTCACTCTAGAGTCTCGACCCCCTCATCGCTCATGCAGATGTATGCAGACGCTCTGGCCTGCACTTTTTCCTGTTACTCTGAAAAGCAGTTTTTAAAGTCAACATAAAATCAAATTGGCCTTTCACGAGTTCACAATTACATATAATAAATAGAGTAAAGGTTATGCGTATGTGGCCTGCTGTCCGAGGGGAGGGCTCCGAGCTCGGAATTTGGCCTGAACCCAGAGTACTCCCCTATCCCAGGTTGGGATAGGAATAGATAGAAGTGAGGAGATGGATAGAAGTTGAATAACTGTCAAGGAACAGAAGTAAGTCTGCTGTGTGTGTACCGGTAAATATACCTCTATCTTGTGAATTGGGTTGATTACTGAATGTGTTAATTAGGTTAGTTATCTGAACGTGCTCCTCCTGAACTTTTGATACACATTTTTGGTCTTTTTGTGCATGATTCATCAATGCATGTTGTACCAAAGAACTGTCATAAGAATTCAGCAGATTAATCAGTTAATTCATTTTAAAGTCATTTTTTGTTTTATGAAATGAGTTTCTTTTTTGGTTGATGGAGCCGAGGCTGCCTAAATTTCAACCAATGAGTGGCGGCGGTGTTTCAGGAGGAGAGTAGTGACAATATAATAAATCCCTGATGGGGATTTTTTTTTATATAGAAATGCATCAGATTACAGAACACATTAGAAATACTTATTCATGTTACCTTTAAAGAAATATTCTAGTGTGTGTGTGTGTCTGTAATGTGATCATGATTGTGTGTGTTTGTCTTGTTGTGTGTGTTCGTCCTGCTCTGACTGTTTCTTCAGCACTGAATAAAAACACCTGTGTGAAAAGACTGAAACGACACATTTGGGTAATTACTGAAAATGCATGATTAATTAAGTCTCCGAGAGGGAATTCACAATCGCAGTGATTAAGCACATTCCTTATTTAGCTCATAGCTTCATCCTTACAACTGTCTTCAATTCGTTTTCTCCTCAGATGGAAAACAGGGCGTTCAGCAGGCTGTCAGATGTTGTCTCACAACAGAGAGCTCATTTAGCAGCCTAATCAGTTCATTTAGTTTCACACTTACTGTTCTGTTTCAATTTTGCGAGCTTGGATGTAGATTTTTCAGTCTCACATTAAAGTATTCGTGAAGCTTTGGAAGATGAGGGTTTATTAGATCTGGAAAATTGTTTAATGCATGACCTTAGCTCTACAAAGCATGCATTTTCTCGCATTTGCCTGTGAAAAAGACTCTGGCCACACCAGTGCCAGTGAAATATGCCACCTAAACCTCATGAATTTACCTAGTACCATCAGAAAAAACTAACATTATACGCAGATTACCTTTCACACTGAGATTGGCAGATTGGCTGCTTTTTGTTGGTTTCCATCTAAATGAGAAAGTTTTTTTTTAAATTCATTTATGG